TCCAAATACTCCAAGCTCTGCTTCTGTCTTTTGATGATTGTACACATCCGGCCGAGGGCGGCTCGCTTCAGCTGCTTGCAGCGGTAGAGAGAGTCTCCGTATTTCATAAGCCGCACATAATCCTTAGCCACGCTTAAAGAAATAAAAAGATGTAAGATACTTTTCACCTCAGGCAATAATTTAAAAGACACTGTATTAAAAGATACCTTACTTGTCCACTAAATTTTTGGCAATATTTATTTGTCCCAAGGCCAACTTGTAATGGTCCTTGTCATAGAGAATGTTCATCAAATCAGCATAAAATGGATGGATATCCTAAAACAGAAATAAAGCGGTCATTCTGGGACAGGTTTCTCATCCCCATGTGTCAATAACTCTTGAAGAATAATTTTGAAGTATGTCCTGCCTTTTCCACGCTCTTCAAACCCCAGATCTCCTCCCCGGTCCGTTCTCCTGACTGAGGACTGTTGAGAGTTCAGGGGTCACTTCTGCCTGCCCATCTAGCCTGGGCCCCAGGCTGATCCCCCTTTACCTCATCTGCAGGTCTCCATTTGTGCACCAGACCCCCTGCCCCTCCTACTCAAGGCCTGAAACCAGGCCTGCAAACGCGGTGTCATTTCCCCCTTAGCTCCAACAGCTGGAAAGCTCCCTGAACCCACAACCCTTCCGTTCCTTTGCTCCCCTTCTTGGGGAAGGTCACAGAGAGGTACCGGCTCTTCTTCCTTTGAACCCAGTGTAGTCCGAACCGTGTCCACCCGTCCTTTAGAGCGGCTCATCAGATCAGCTCCCTCCCCGAACTCCTTTCATCTTACCAGAGCGTTCCACAGCACCAGACAGCTGACCACTCATGCTTCCTGGTGCTTTGCATTCAACTGGCCTCTGGGACCAACTGTCTGGCTCTTCTCTCCCCTCGCCGCTCCTCAAACTCCCTCGCTGGCTTATGCTTCCACCCAACATTAAACATCAGAGTTCCTGGGAGCACTTTTCTCTCCAGGTTCAGCTCCTAGGTGACCTCACGTGGATCTAAAGGCACTGATGGGTTCCTGAGTGCCACCGCACATCTCCAGGCCACACCTCTCACAGAGCTCCAGACTACTCGCACTTCTGCTCGGACACCTTACCAGAATCTCAGACCAACGCGTCCAAACCACCCCCTTCCTCGTCCTCAAAATGCCCCACTTCCCCGTCCGGATGGATGGCAACTGCAAGATGCCCAAGATGCCACGAGCAAGTTCAGCTCTTCCAACCACCACCAGCTGTTTACGTCGGTGCGTCAACCTTCAAGTGGTCTCCTAACCCCATAGGCCACGCATCCTCTAAAAGAGAAGTCAAAGCTCGGCACGTCCCACACTCAACTTGGAAGGTTTCCCTAACAACAGAACTCAGGCCCTGTACCAGGCGGCTCACCGACTCACCATCTCTGACTCATCTCCAGGTACCCTCCCTCTCACACACCCTGATGGGTCTTCCTGTTTGAGACCTCACACTCTGTACCTCAGGGCCTCTGCACCTGCTGCTTCTGCACCTACAGTGCTTCTCTCCAGGCAGCCCCGCAGCTCGTTTCCTTCAGATCTCTGCTGCAAACTCTAGAGATTTCTAGGTTTACAACCTTTCCCCTCACTAGATGAGGACAGGGACTTATTACTACTGTGTTCCCAGGGCCTAGATAAGTACCTAGATATGTACCTAGATAAGTACATATCAATTATTCCATGAACGTAACTATGCTAACCTTCTGCTCTAAAATTCTCGGATGGCTAACGTTAAAAAAAAAAAGAAAAAGAAAAAAGGAATACAATGTTCACAATGTAAATGTATTGTATTAAAAAATGATACCAAGGATGAAAAAGATAAAACTTCTTACAAAGAACCACAAAAATCTGGTGCTAATTAGTTCAAAGCATTTTTTGCCCAGATCAGGTGTTTCCAAATATCACACCAGTTTCCAATCATCTTACTCTTCTGGTTCCTTCTAGGTAATTTCTAGGGTACCCACCCTTTCCCAACAAACTATCCACCCATTCAACGAGCCTCTACTGAGCACCTATAGCATGCCCAGGAGACACATGTAAAGTTAAGTGCCTGTCCGCTAGCAAAAATCTCTACTCTTATTTTAAGCACATCTGTAATTTTTTAAACAAACTACTGTCACCTTAAATATAAAAGAAACTCTTGTCACATAAACCAACTTTTGCCTCCTGGCTTAACCTAGCTTTACGGACTATCTGGGGACAGTGGCCAATTTAGGCTCTCACCCTGCATTGTGGAGCCCACCCCAAATAACCCTGCAGCAGTGTTCTCCTACACGGGGATTTCACGAGCAGTGTCTGCTCTTGGCTTTCCACGGCTTAATCAACAGGTAAACTCTACTATGCTAGAGAGTGAAGACTTCAACTCTTTTAGCTGAATGCAGAAGTCACAGCTCCCCCAGGCAATTTCTTCCCACCAGTCAACAGAGAGGACAGTGCTGAACTGACCATCACTGGCTGATGAAACAAACAGTGGTGGACCTCAGGCCACTGCTACAACCTGAGGCCACAAAGGAGCCTTGGAAAGAGGAAGCCCATACAGGTTGGTGAGCTGCCAGGTTCACAATCCATAGCTTTTATTGAGCTTGGGTTGGTGCCTGCAATCCTAGAAGTTACCAAAAAAAAAAAAAAAAAAAAAAAAAAAAAAGGTGGCGGAGATAGCTTTGGGCCCTCTTATATGGAGTTTAGTTTGGGGGCAAGGAAGAATACTAAGGAATTAAAAAAAAAACCTGTGTTCTTTTCCCAGCTTTGCCATGAACTCACAAAGTCTGACCAGTGAATAATTTTGTTTCCTTCATTATCTGTCAGATAAGTACACAAACTGGCTATAAATTATCTGAAAGCTCACATTGATATTGCCATTTGTGTCCCCCAGAATCACTTACATCCAATTTGGGGAAATCTGTTAGAATCTGTGAGAGTCTGTCATGGTAATTTTGTTGAGTAAATTTGACTTTCCTCATGTAAAAATGTCTAATGCGGTGAATTTGGTAATGTTTATGTATAACTGTTGGAGTCTTCCGTTGAGTCTTCGATAACGTCAGGTCAATAAAGTCCTGTAATTAAATAAGAGACAGTACACCAAAAATGTTTATTTTCTATCCACTTATCTGAAACCTCAAAAACCAACAATTAACAATACCATATATTTTAAACTACAAACACTTTTCCTAACTAAATCTTTACTCTTTTATATCCAACTTGGTTCATGTTCATAGTTTTTGGCTTTTAAAAAACATTTAGCAGATGGCTGCCTAAATAAATTTTATCCCATATTTAAAAAAAAAAAAATGTTTACTTGGAGAAAAAGAGACACGGAGACACACGAGCGAGTGGGGAAGAGCAGAGAGAGAGGGAGACAGAGAATCCCACATGGTCAGTGCAGAGTTTGATGCGGGACTCGATCCCACAAACTGAGATTGTGACCTGAGCTGAATCAAGAGTAGGACAGGCAACTGACTGAGCCACCCAAGGAGCCTCACCCCACACTTTCTTAATCACACCTGTATTTCCAATACCTAGAACCCTCTGAAACTTTAGTCATATAACTCAAGCATAAACCAGAAAAAATATTAAAGGGAAAAAATTCTGCAATTCAATCCACGTATCTTTGACTTCAGAAGGACATTAAATAAGTAAACCTAGGTGTGGAAAGTGACTGAGAATGTACACAACTCTTGCTCGTGTACCCAGTGCAAACAGAGACATCAAGCCCAGAGGCCTCCCCATCCCCTCCGTTAGCGGAGTCTAGGAATCCGTAAGACGCCAGTTCAAAAGCCTGACCTACTTCACGAAGTTTTCCCTGACCCGCCCCACCTCTTGGGGAGGAACCTCTCCTCTCTAGGAAGGACTCCAAGGTCTGGAGAAGATCCCTGACACTCAAGGAGTAGACACTCACCTCTGGGGAAGGACCCTGACATCAGAGGACGAACATTCACCCCTGAGGACGGACCCTGACGCCTGAGGCCAGAACCTTAACCCTGAGGACAGACTTTGACGCCTGAGGACGGACCCTGACGCCTGAGGACGGACCCTGATGCCTGAGGGGGGACCCTGGCCCCTGAGGACGGACCCTGACGCTTGAGGAGGGAAACTGGCCCCTGAGGAAGGACCCTGACGCCTGAGGAGGGACCCTGATGCCTGAGGATGGACCCTGGCCCCTGAGGACGGACCCTGACGCTTGAGAAGGGACCCTGATGTCTGAGGACGGACCTTCACCCCTGAGGACGGACCCTGATGCCTGAGAAGGGACCCTGGCCCCTGAGGATGGACCCTGAATCCTGAGGAGGGACCCTGGCCCCTGAGGACGGACCCTGACCCCTGAGGAAGGACCCTGATGCCTGAGGAGGAACACTGGCCCCTGAGGATGGACCCTTAATCCTGAGGAGGGACCCTGGCCCCTGAGGAGGGGCACTGACACTTGAGAAGGGACCCTGATGCCTGAGTACGGACCTTCACCCCTGAGGAGGGACCCTAACTCCTGACGCAAGGGCCTGAAGAAGGAGCCTTGCTGCCTGGGGGAACCCCTAACCCCGGAGGGCCCTCATCTGGGAGGACGTGGCCTGGGAGGAGAGGCAGCCCGGAGCAGGCGACCCATGTCCCATCCACGAGTTACGGGCCGGGCTCTCCCAGTCCCCCGGCAGGGAGAGGCGAGGGCTGAAGAGCCCTCGGGGCCGCCTACCTTGGCGGACGGCACCACCGTGATCTTCTTGAAGTTGTAGTGCGCCATGCCAGAGGCCACACACGAGGGAACGTGGACGGATGCATGGGACTTCCGCCGGAGCGGGCGGGACTTCCGCCTGCGCGTCACTTCCGGGATCTCCTTGCGGCCCCGCCCCCACCCCCTGCACGGCTTCCTCGCCGCTTGGCGCCCCCGCCCGGCCGGAGGTCCCCGGAGGAGGAGGTGGCCGGGACCTGCTGGGACCTGCTAGGGCGGGTGGGGGTGGGGGTGGGGGTGGGGGTGGGGGTGGGGGTGGGGAGGCGAGGAGAGGTCACGGCCCCGACAGGCCGCCTACGGGCTTGTGCTTTTCGATCCGGCCGGCTCGAGGGGCTTGGGATTCCGGGGAGCTCCGGGGGTCTAGGGGCCCGGAGTCCCAGGAACTCCAGAGTTCTCGGGTGGGGGGGGGGGCCCGGGGGACTCGGAAGGTCTCAGGGTCTTGGGGATCTCAGGGGCCGGGGAACTCCAGGACTCTGGGGTTCTCGAGGGCCCAGGGCGGTCTCAGGGCGGGGTGTTTGCCTCAGGATCCCGGAGGATTCGGGGCACCGTGGTCGTGGCCCGCTGGCGGGGGCTTCCCAGGAACCGACGCCCTGGTTTTGCGTTTTCTGCGGCCTACACGGACTCTGGACTTGTGAATGCAGCGAAATCTTAATGAATGAGTAATGCGACAGCAGAGTCGCCCGCGGGGTGGGGGCTACCAATCTCCCCACCCCGGCCCCGGCCCCGCCCCCGGTCTGCGAAGCCAGACCCAGGTCTGTGTTCCCAGCCTCCCCGCCCCCCAGAGGTTCCCCGGGTGTCTGATCCCTGCCTCCTGGGCTCCTACTCCCCCCGCCCCCAGCCAGCCTCAACTGTCAACCTCTCTCTGATGCCTTGGCCATCGCTTTCTGTCTTCCCAACTGCTTCCCATCTGCTTAAAACCCTCCTGTCTCCATTCCCCGGACACCTCTCATTGCCTGTTCTGTTGGCTAACTTACCTGCCTGTCTCCCCGCCCAGCTTGTCCTCAAGATTTTGCCCTCCAGCTCTTGCTCTTCCTCCATGAAGTCTCTCTTTTAAGGTCCCCTGACGGTTGCCTTGCATGGATTCCTCTGAAAAAACAGATATTTCCAGTCCCAACTTCTCTCTCAATGCCAGTCTGACATTTCCAATCAATTGTGAAATGCCCACCTGCGTGATTTCAGATGTGTCAAACCGGGCATTTCTGAAAATCGAAAACTCATCTTCTCCCTGTAAGTAGACCTATCCTCACACTGCCATGCCAGAGGGCAGCCCGCGCCCTGACTCCACTGCAGACTGCAGAAAAAGGACTTGCTAAGTCCCAAGAACACAGGGCAGAGAAGACAAAGCCTGATCCAAGGCAGAGGGTTGCAATTAGCCCCACAAAGTGCATTAGGAACATCAAGGGGGGCCAGTGGAGACAAGCCCTCTGGCGTCTGACAGAGGAGAAAGTTGATAAGGGAGGTGCATCTGGACACTTACTACTGTAACTTCTGCTAACAGTGTGGCGACTCCCTCAGGTAACACATGTTGTGGTAAGCCTATGGACTTGTGACCATGTGCTGAGCACTATTCGAAGCGCTTAACTACGTATTAACTCACTTAATTCCTACAAGCCCACAAGGTGGGGGGGTAAACCAAGGCACGGAAGCTGCTCACTAGCCTGTGGTCAAACAGTTAACAGTGGCAGAGTTGGGTTTGAACCCAGGTGGCCTGGCCCAGCATTCTTGTTCTTGACCATTAGCTGTTCTGCTTCTCCGTCACCTTCTCAGATCCTTTCAACAAGTCCTATTGTTGTTACAGAAACTTCCTATGTTCTGAAGTTGAAAATCATTTTGAATCACCATTCTCTCAGTTATTAACTATAATGCCCTTTTTTGTGTTATCAGGAGGTTAGATAAATATGCCTCCTATGTCTCCGTGGCACTTGCACAGAAAGCCTCTGGGATAATCAGGACTCTGTGGCCACAGTCACCTGCTGAACTGCTGGACGGCCCCGCAGAGCTCTGCTGGTGCCCTTCCTCTCCCTCGGGCGCCCGTGAGTTCCCTCAGCCTCTCCCATCGCCCTCACGCTTACGTGGCCGGATCCTCCTTGAAAATCCGGTATTTAGGTAAGTCCAACCAACCCTTGGCTTCAGACAGACAACTATCCTTTCTTGAGCTTCTTCCTCCCTCTAGGCAAAAATCGAACAACTTCTTACATTTCTACAGGTCATTAACATTTACAAAGTGCTACACTTTTTAGTATCAACAGCATTCCCAACAACTTTGTGGTGTGCGGTTACCATAGGATTACAGGTTTGCTTCTCCCCAAAATCACGTGGCTCTAAGTGGCAAACAGGATGGGACCCCACTGGCCTGTAAATGCAATCGTTATATATAGACAGTATATGGAGGGGACGGAACTGTTTAAAATGGTAATAATAATATAAAGTCAATATACATGATGTTGTTGGTTTTACACAGAACAGTTGAAGCCTAGTTGGTCACGTAGAACAGAAGAGGAACCGTTCTTTGAAAGAAACCCAAAGCAGGACTCTTGACAAAGAGCAAATACATTAACATGTGTGTCAGCAAAGAAATGTGAGGTAATTTTGTAAACCTTATCAGTAAAAAACTGACAGGCCTTTCATATTTTTACTGTTCTCTCATGAATTTGGAATCATATTTGCCAAAAAAACAATAAACACTTGCCATGTGAAGAGTCCAAGGCCTCAAGTCCCCACCCCAGCTCTGCCCTGTACAAGCTGCATGTGCTGTGGTGGGTGAGTCAGCTCCACGGAGCCCTGGCCCCTCCTTGCCAAGTGGAGAAATCATGTCCACCCCCAAAGGATTGTTTATGGTGATTAGTTAAGGTACGTGCACAAAAGCATAAGTCATAAAGTAAGAGATGTTAATATGAGGGCTAACTTTAACATAATTTTATATGAAAACTTTATTGGGTCAGCACAAGGTAATGTACTTCATTGCCACGAAGTATATTAAATGTTAGATATCTTTTTTTTTATGTTTATTTTTTGAGAGAGACAGAGGGTGAGCGAGGGAGGGACAGAGGGAGAGGGAGACATAGAATCCGAAGCAGGCTCCAGGCTCTGAGCTGTCAGCACAGAGCCCGACACGGGGTTCGAACTCACAAGCTGTGAGATCATGACCTGAGCTGAAGTCGGACACTTAGCTGACTGAGCCACCTAGGCGTCCCACTTTTTCTTTTTTTAATGTTTACTTATTTTTAGGAGAGAGAGAGAGAGAGAGAGAGACAGAGAGAGAGAGAGAGAGAGAGAGAGAGAGAGAGAGAGAGAGAGAGAGGGAGTGGGGGAAGGGCAGAGAGAGAGGGAGATGCAGAATCCAAAGAAGGCTCCAGGCTCTGAGCTGTCAGCACAGAACTTGACACAGGGCTTGAACCCATGTACCCTGAAATCATGACCCGATCCGAAGTCGGACACTTAACTGATTGAACCAGCCAAGTATATTAAATGCCAGGTTTCCTACCAGAGATTCTCGGCTCCCACACGTGGCAATGAAATCATCCCTCCGAGCGCGTCGTCATGCACAATCTGAGTTCTTTGCCAGCTTTGTAAGGGACAAGAACCAGCACACGAACAGAAGAGACGTATGGAACACCCTCTGGTCATGGTGCGTCTATGGGTGTGACGTTGGGGAGGGGCTGTGGGAAAACGAGGCCACTCGCAGGAGCCGCGCAGCCGGGAGGCGTGTCTGAAGGCCCAAGCCCCGCGGTCCGGAGCCACACAGCCGGGAGGAGGCGCCCAGCATCGCACTCCACCTGCGTGGTGATGAGAATCATCGCCCTTCCCTTTGCACCTGCCCTTTGCCTGGCTCAGCGTGGCTTCCTGGGGACAGGTGTGTGTCCCGAAGCACTAAGAGGCTGCTGGTGTCTGGGGGCCCTTTTAGAGGAGAGTCGGAAAAGCCACCTGCAGTGAAGGCAGGTCACCAATTCTTGAGCTGATTTCCACCGTGTTTGAAGATGTCTGGTGACTCGGGCTCCTCAGAGGGTGAGGCTCGTGGCGGAAGTAAGCCTTGGCTGTGGCGAAGGACCCTCAAGGGTGCCCTGCGGTGCTTTCCGGCGACTTCGGCCAGTCGGGGTCCGTCACGGCAACAGGCTGTCTTCCATGCCTGTTGTGCGGAATTGGTCTTCTCTGTTGCACTTTCTTGTTGCTGTGATTCTCACAGATGAAAAGTAGGGTTTGCAGCAGAATCTGTGCCTGAGGAATGTGATCAAACTTCTTGCCTAAAAAGAGCCTTTGTGTGGGTGTTCGTACTTCGCCTTGCGTAGCTGTGCGGTATCAGTGTTAGGACCCTGCCCGTCCGTGAACACTTCTGATCCACTGTCCACAGGCCGGTGGCTTGGCGCAAGCCTGCTGTGCGGTCACCTTTCGCTCACTGAGTCACCATCACGGGACCTTGACCGCCTACCTGCCCCTCCCGTGCACCTCGTCGCAGTGCTTGGTGATGGGGCTGCCGTTTGCTGTTCCGAACCGGCCGGCCACACCTTCACACAGCGGGACGTGTCCGCCCTGTGGTGCGGAGCCGCCTCCTCCCTCCCGCGCGCCAACCTCACCACCCACAGTAGAGTTCCTTCTTTCAAGGAACGGTCGGTTAGGTTCGTCTTTCGGAGTCTGGGGCTGTTACGGCACCGGTGGCCGGCAGAGGCCTGGCTTAACCCGACGGCCCAAGGACTCTCTGCAGCAACTCACTACTCATCCTCATCCGGAGAACATCTGGTTCCGTGCTACAGCTTCCCAGCTAGAAGTCACTGGTTCACACGTTTCAGATACGAAATGTAAAAACCAAGACCCTTATTAGGATGCGCTACGGCTCAGCGATTGTGGCCCATTGTGTCGGAGTCTCGAAAACGGCCACAGGGTATGTCTGGGGATACCCAGGAGCCCCCATCCTGTGTGGGAGCGGCATTCCCAAACTTTTGGGGAACGCGGCCTGAGAAGGCTCGTAAAGCTGCAGACCGTGCGTGAATGCGGGGAGAGTCAGAATGCCTTCTCGGCCTTTCTGATGGAGGCCGAGGGAGCCAGAAGGGAGCACAGATTCAAGATGCAGCTGCCACAACCCGGTGTTAGAAACACATTTGCCCACAGTGTCAACCCCACACGTCACCAGCACCGCTTTGTACTGAGGTATGCATTGTCATCTGCCGTCTTGGTTTTGGCCACAATTTGCCTCCCTGTGGAAGTGATGTGCTGTAAGAGAATCCGAAAAACCAAAACGCGGAGCCCCACCAGACTCCAGGCAGTGGACCAGATCTGGACGACGAGTGGAAATACTTTGTGACGCCCCAGTGTGAATAATAGGACACGAATCACAGAGGGTTGTGTCTTTCCACCTGCACGCATCCGCTGCTTGCCTGAGGCAACGGGAGATCATGTGTTGCTTGTGACCACCCAGTGGTTCAGATCCAGCCCCTATGACCTCTGGGGGGCTCTCCACGCTGGTGTGAGAATGACAGCACCTGTAAGTAGGGTGTGAGCTGATGGAAAGCAGTGTGCTGTGACCACAGCCCAGGACACACGTTACAGGTGACCAGAGGCAATTGTTCGAATTTCTCAGCAAGGCCCCTGGTGCAGCCAGCCGGTCCAGCTAACGTCACCTTCCTGAGACCCAGGTCTCGAGGGTTGTTCCCACCCCGTGCTCCCCAGTGGAGCCCGAAGGCCAGCCTGCGGCCGGCGCCCCTGACCCCTTGCAGTCAGGAACCTCCTTCTGAGCACCAGGGCGTCGGCTCTTCTGGCCTTGACCTGTGAGGCTCTCCTACCACCAGGCTACGCAGCCTCCTTGAGACAACAGAATCACTGTGGATGACGTCCACTCACCCACAACTGAAACTCGCGCTACCAGGAAGAGCCGCGGGGCTTGGTGGCTGGCCAGTAGACTGCATAAATACAAGACTCCACGTGGCTCGGCTTCACGCCAAATGTCAGAAAGGGAAGGCCAGTGTGCCCCCCAACTCTTGGGCTTGGGGAGCGTGCACGGAGTGAGATCAAGAGGGCAATGAGTGAAGGCGGTGTGGAACAGGATGGTCTTTCCCGTCTGTGTGACTCCTGCCGAGACCCACACGGCGGATGGCAAGTCCCCGAGGGTGGAGCGCCTGGGAGCCACCTCTCAGCCGGATGCGGGGCTGGTGTCCTTTCCACCCTCCAGAGGAGAGCCAGACGGCCACATTCATTCCTCTTGCTACACTCTTGCTCAAGGTCAGCACGAGGGGCCGCGAATGCCGCTCACTTGTGTGGGGAGGTGGGCGCCCTTGGCCGCCGGGTGAGTGGAAACTCTCCTTGGATCGGCTGTGGCCACGGCCACGCTAGGATCCCACCCTCACCCACACTTTTGACGGGGCGACTTTTGATTGCTGCATTAGGCAATGCTTTGTGGTAAACATCAGGGTTGTCATCAGGAAGCGTGCCACGTTATGCTTATGACTTTAAACAACCCAGTTTTCAAATCTACTTTGGAATCTGAGTGAACGTGAACTAGTCCACGTCTCCGAGGTGACCTGGTGCCAAACACTTCTCCGGGTTGGAGACACTTCCCAAGCTTCCCTGTGGGCCTGTTCTTTGGACTCTTGTCAGCAGCTCCCCCAACTCTGCTAATGAGGTTTCTGATATCGTTGGACTGTTCCAGAACATTCCATCTCAGAAACGCTGGCAAGCCTCCTGGCACCGAGAAAGATGCTGCTTGTGAGTGACTGTCAGCCTCGGCTCTGCATCTGGAGAAACTGGTTATCTTGGGGTCTGTCCCCCTAAAAACCCTCCAGACTCTTTTCTGCAGCCACCTTGAATCTCATTCCACCCAGTGCTCACTGCACAGAAATCAGACTCTGAACTTGCCAGGCTCCTGAGTCTGGGTGGAGTCTGGAGATGGGTCGGGTCTGGGTTTCCCATTCTGCAGAGCCCGCCGGACTCGCCTCGCCCAGGCAGTGCTGCGCCCCGAAGCCTCTTCCATGCCTGGCGCCCTCCCCCAGCTCCCCCATCCTATGACAGGTGCTGCCCGGCAGAGTTGTGGCTGCCGGGGACCGAGCAGGGGGACACGGAGCCGGCACCCAGGCGGCCGCTCCCGGAAGCTGGCAGAAGCATGCTGCTGCCCGTGTAGACGCCTCCTGGCATGGAAGGGCTGGGCCAGCGCCGGAGATGGGAGTTCACACCTCTGTGCGGGTGCTTAACCTTTCCTGCCTGTTGACTTAGGAGCAAAGCCAGTCAGGAAATAGGCCCGAGAGCCAGAGGGCACCCAGCCCACGTCAACTCAGTACCAACCGAGCACCCATTGTGCTCACCCCTGACATCCTGCACTGCGCAAATGTCCCCAGCAGCAGGGGATTTGGGCCACAGAGTGAAAACCCGCAGCGGTGTGAGTCTGTGTTCTCCACATCTCATACCACCAATACCTATATTTTCAGAATAGATTTTTGAAGAGCAAACAACCGTGTATCACAGAGTAAGATGTACACCCCAACCCAAGGATCTTAGAGCAAACACGGTGAGTGAAATAAGGAAGTTACAGGCAGAGCACGAAGGGCGGTCTCCAGAAGAGGGGGCTCAGGCAGGGTGGGACCTGGGCGAGGGGTCCCAGACACCTCCCCGCACGGTTCCTGGCAGCGGCTGGGCTGTGACGATGGTGCTCTCACTGGCTGGTCTCACACGGCTGCGTTTTCATCTGATGTCCAGGCCACCGCCCACCAAAACTAGAGCAGAGTATATATATATTTTTTTTAGTTTATTTTGAGACAGAGAGAAAGGGTGCACACAAGTTGGGGAGGGGCAGAGAGAGAGAGAGAGAGAGAGAGAGAGTATTCCAAGCAGGCTCCACGCTGTCAGCACAGAGCCCGACGTGGGGACTGAAACACGAACTGTGAGATCATGAGCTGAGCAAAAATCAAGATTCCGACACTCAACCGACTGAGCCCCCCAGGCGCTCCCCCCTTTTACTTTCTAGAGAAGCAGTTACCAGATCACTCAGAATTTGATGTGGCTTGCATTATATCCCTGCGGGACAGCATGGGCCCAGATCCTCCAGGCCAGGACTCCTAGGGACCTCTGGTTGACTTCTGTCTCCCTCCTGGCCCCACCCCTGCCTAGGCTCCTCCTGGTCCAGGAGCACTGGTGAGTGTCCTGCCCTGGCCCTCCTTGCACTGATTGCACACAGTACTTTGGTGGTTTGGGCGCCATCTGCCTGGTACCCACTGGCTCCTTGAAGGACAGACAGTAGCTGATGCACAGGCCCAACTCTGTGTTTGTGTCAATCAACCAACCTTCACCGCCGGGAGGAGGGAGGTAACAGGGACCTGACTGTGAAGACTGGGCACCTGAGTAACTTGCTTTTTCCGACAGTCCTCATTTATATCAGTGCTCACAGTTGTGACAGCTGGGCAATCATTGGATGTAAATGGACAGGTCCTCACTAGATTCTTTCCAAGGGCTCCCCTCTGGGTACCATGCCTGCAAGGTTGCAGGTGCCAGCACTCAGCCTGCGGCCCCAGTGCCTGGTGAGCGTCCGGGGCAGACACTCGGGCCTCGCTGGCTGTGGTGCGCTGGGAAGTTAAGTGTGCTTGCTGGGGACGGTGGGGGGCAGGGGTCGGACACGGACGAGGTCCTAGTAGCTCTGCTATGTGTCAGGGGCGGGGCTGTGGGGACGGAGGGCCATCTGCCATCTTGTAACCCTGCGACCACCCCGCACACCTGACTGTGGGTCACTCAGACCCCTGTTCCTTCTCTCCCCTTGCCCACCTGGGACTGTCGAAGCACCTGCGCCCATGTGCACCGTGCACATGACATTGGAGTTTGTTCTTGGTCTGTCTGTGCATCTGTTCATCTGAGGTTCTGACTCCGAGGCTAGGAGGCCAGGAGGCCAGGAGCTGGGGCTGGAACGAGACACCGCTCCCCACCCCTCCCCCTCGGCAGCTGCAGAGCCTTGGTGAATTGTTTGCTTCACTGAACCTCAATGTTCTCTTCGAGAAACTGGAGATAATGAAAGCACGTACTGAGGCAGGAAGAAAACTGTCCCCAAAGAGGTCCATGTCCTAGTCCTCAGAACCCGTGAGTGCTACCTTCTGTCATGGAAAGGGATATGATTATGGGCATGGAGCCTTGAGATGGGGAGAGTGCTCTCGATCATCTGGTCCCCTTCTAATTATGCCCGTTCTTAAAAGTGGGGACTCTTTCCCCACTGTGTCACAGAGACATGTGGCCACAGAGGCAGGGTCTGAGAAATGACACGCTGCTATCTTAGAAGATGGAGGAAGGGACGTGAGCCAAGGAATGTGGAAGCTTCTAGAAGCTAGAGAAGTCAAGGAACAAATCCCCCAAGTCAGCTTATAAATCCGGGGCAATGTCCGTGCTTTGTATTTCAGTATACCTCACAGTAGCTAGAATGGTGCTGGGGCCATAAAATAATAAAATTTAGAGATTTTGAACTGGAAAGGATCTCTCCGATGATTTTGTTCTACCACGATAAGCAATGTGTTGATCACAGATGGATGGCTGGTGGAGAGATAAATGGGTAAGTAGATGGGTGCTTGCGTAGATAGATGGATGGGTGCGTGGGTGGATGAGTGGATGGACAAAATTGCTAGCAGCCTAAAGTGAGGTTTTGAGATATTTGTGGGATTTCTAAATAATTTCAATCCTTTCATCAGAGTTCAACCTGTCTCTTTTCCTCTCTTTGTAAGCCATACATAATAGAAAAGTTGACTGAGTTAACTCTAACCTGAGTTAAATATCGATCCTTGTGAACTCCGTGTTGAATAAGACCAAAACATCTATGGTCATTTACATGTAACACTCAGATATCATGTATCCTTCAGGTTCATTAAATGCATCAGAATGCACTAGATCCCAAAAGGGGAGGTGAAGAGTAAGGAGGTTTCCAGGTTTCTGGAGACGCACAGATTCACCTATAATTCATCTGTCACATGGAACATTGGCGACAGAAGGGAGAGGTTGAGAAACTTTGGGTAGTTCAGGATTTATTCATAGGCTTGGCACACTAGAAGACATGATGATCAAAAATATGGCCCTTAAAATACAAATGCCATGGGTTCTCAAAATAGTGGAAATGGAATCATTAATATTGAAGCACAAGAGAACCAAACAAAACGATTCTCCTAATTTCTGTTACTTCTGTGAGTTGTTACTACTCCTCTGGCCTTGCCCCCATTCCTAAATTGGATCTTTCATGACCTCAGATCAAGTCTGTCACTGTGAACACTACTGTCTTCAGAAAGCAGTCCAGGCTGCGGGCCTCCCACAAGGCAGTCACTGAGGACAGGGGCCTCCTTGTAGCCCTGCTACACACTTGTCGCTGGCACAGCCCCCTCCCAACAGATGTTGGTCGAGTTCATGAACTAATCAGTTACATATTGTTATTTAGCCAGTTTCCATCTTTGCATTGGGACAGACCTCAAGCCCAGAGATGGTATGAGACTTGACACAGCTAGTTAATGGCAAACCACAGCTGGAATCCATGTCTGTCCATAACTATGCCAACACTTTTCCACCTTAAGATACTCCAGAGAGGGGGCTCGTCCTCTCCTGTGGAATGAGGCCAGGGCCCCGTGGGGTCTCATTGGACCATAAGGCTTCCTGTTCCCAAGTATTGGAGGAGTCTCTGGTTTATTAAAATCATCGGAGTCATTCAAGTTCCTGTTCCATTTATAGCCCAGCCATCAGATGAGCTGTGGTGGCCCTATTTCTGCCCCAGGCTCTTGGTGTCAGGGCTGGCTCCTTTGGGGTCATGGAACAGGATTTCCATTCTGGACTTGCACCACATAGCCCCAAGGATGGATGGCAGGTGGCTCAGAGCTAAAGTTTCCAACTGAGACGCATCCATTCAACACGTGTTTATTTCATACTAACATGTTGGGCACTGCTGTAGGCTCTGGGGCACAGAAGTGAGCAAATCAGAAGCCCACACAATGGAACACTACACAACCATGAAAAAGAATTAAAATCTTGCCGTTAGAAACAACATGGATAGACCTAGAGGTTGTTAGGCTAAGTGAAGTAAGTCAGACAGAGAAGGAAAAATACCCTATGATTCCACTTATATCTGGAATCTAAAAAACAAAACAAGACAAAATAAAAAACAGAAAGAAGCTCATAAATACAGAGAACAAATAGGGGTCAGCCAGAGAAGAGAGGATTAGGAAATAGACGAACTAGGTGAAGGAGATTAAGAGGTGCGAACGTCCACTTATAAAATAAGTAAGTCAGGGGATGAAAAGTATATAGCATAGGGAATATCGTAGGGAAAAAAAATCCTGCAACTTTAATGAATTCATTTATCAGTGCTAATAGTTTTTTGGTGGAATCTTTAGGGTTTTCAATATGGAGTATCGTGTCATCTGCAAAGAGTGAAAGTTTTGCTCCTTCCTTGCTGATGTGAATGCCTTAATTTCTCCATCTTGTCTGACTGCCGTGGCTGGGATTTCCACTACCACATTGAATAAAAGTGGTGAAAGGGGACATCCCTGTCTCGTTCCTCATCTCAGCGGAGAAGCTCTCAGCTTTTCACCACTGAGGATGATGTTAGCTGTGGGGTTGTCATACATGGCCTTTATTATATTCCGTCTATACTTTGTTGAGAGTATTTATCGTGAATGGGTGTTGACTTTAAAGTTTTCGCTCTGTACCCATGGAGTACGATTTTAGTTGCAGATTGTTCACATATGGGTCATGTTAAGAAAGTTTCCTTCTAGGGGCGCCTGGGTGGCGCAGTCGGCTGAGCGTCCGACTTCAGCCAGGTCACGATCTCGCGGTCCGTGAGTTCAAGCCCCGCGTCAGGCTCTGGGCTGATGGCTCAGAGCCTGGAGCCTGTTTCCGATTCTGTGTCTCCCTCTCTCTCTGCCCCTCCCCCGTTCATGCTCTGTCTCTCTCTGTCCCAAAAATAAAATAAATGTTGAAAAAAAAAAAACAAACAAAGTTTCCTTCTATTCCCAGTTTATTGAGTGTTTCCATCATGAAAGGGCATTGAATTTTCTTAAATTCTTTTTCTGCATCCATTAAGATGATTATATGTTTTTTTCACCTGCATTCTATTAATGTATCATATTCCACTGATTAATCTTCATACGTTGAACCATTCTTGCAATCCAGGAATAAATGCTTCTTGGTAATGGTGTGTGATCTTTCTAATATGGGGCTGAATTCAGTGTGCTAGTATTTTGTTGAGGAGTTTTGCATCAATATTCATAAGGGATGGTGGTCTATGGCTTTCTTGCAATGTCTATGTCTGGTTTGGGTATCATGGTAATTTGATAACTTAATTTTTTTAAATCCTTGCCTTTTAAAATAAATTCCAAGGATGGGGTGAATATACCTTTCTACATAATTAAATTTGGTATATTCTAGAACAGGTGCAGTTACCTGCCTAAATGTACTTACTAAAAAATATTTCCCGGGGCGCCTGGGTGGCGCAGTCGGTTAAGCGTCTGACCTCAGCCAGGTCACGATCTCGCGGTCCGTGAGTTCGAGCCCCGCATCGGGCTCTGGGCTGATGGCTCGGAGCCTGGAGCCTGTTTCCGATTCTGTGTCTCCCTCTCTCTCTGCCCCTCCCCCATTCATGCTCTGTCTCTCTCTGTCCCAAAAATAAACGTTGAAAAAAAAATTAAAAAAAAAAAACATGCTGATGTAGATAGAAGATAGTTAGATTTGGTTTTCTCCCAGTCTAATGATTCTATTCGCATATTTAGACTATTTCTAGCTAATGTAATTCCTGATAAAGCTGGGGTTAAGTCTGCCATCTTGCTCTTTGTTTCCATTTGTTCTTTATTCTTTCTTTCCTCCCTTCTTTCCATTAATAAGTAATTGTTGGTATTTCATTTATTGTTTCTATTGGCTTTTTAGCTGTGTCTTTTTTAAAAATATCTTTTAATGGTAATTCTAGTGATTACAATACACACCTTCAGTTTATCACAGTCTACCGTAAGTTAATGTTCTAAAACTTCACATTCATTGTAAGAAACGATACAATATTCATTTATTCCTTAGCACATCGCGTTGTTGTTGTTTTACTTTTATGTGCATCATAACCCCCCAATATGCCATCATCACCATTATCATCATCATCATCATCATCATCATCATCATCACTATTTCTTTATTTTTAAAAAATCTTGTAGTATTTTATTTGAATAAAGCCATTAAAATGGCCTGAAACAAAATGATCAGCATAAAAGGAAATTACAGCATCACTATATTTATACAAGAGGGAGCAGCAAGGGGCACATTTGGAAGTGCCTATAACACTGTTCAATCGATCCACGTTAAATCCCATACAAGTAAGTAGTCAGAATGCAGCGTCATATACATACCATTGAAAAGGAAACGGGAACATTTACAGAGTTAAACTTTTGTATAACATGTGAGTTTTGATATGCTATGTTTAAGTTAGCAAAAAGCCTTACAGTTTGTGTGAAATGGTCGTGTGCCCTAATCTCACCCACCACTAGATCAAGACACTGAAACTGAGAAGAGTTCCTTCCTTATTTACAGCTTTATTCTTGACGTCCCTCTTTGAGACCAAAACGATTGTGGAGCTGACTCGTACCTGGAGTGATTACAAAATACCACAGTCATAACAACGAGAGCCAAAAGACGTATCGACCATCGTTTTACCTTTCAACTGCTGAGGTCACCTACAACACCGTGCAAGAAAGCACAGTTGTGCATTCACGAGTTGACTGTACCAACCTCTGTAAAAATTTAGGAATGAGCACATCCGAGTAAATGGATACTTCTTTATCTCACAGAGTAAAACCAAGCATTTTCTACTTTAAAATTATTTCTGTGTAAAACAAAGACAGAACTCTTGGAGGTCAAACAAGGAAAACAGATAGCAAGTGGAATGCACTGTTAAATCATGAAACAAAGAAGAATCTGCAGTAGAAGTCAGGCAGTATAATCTGCAACCTTTTTAGGGGAGTACTTATTCCCAGCAACCATCACATCTCTGGTAAGATCTCATTTAAAAAAAAAAGTCACAAATTCTAAAAAGTTAATAATCCACTCTCTGAAATCAGATATAAAACTATTACCAACAGAAGATACACAGAGTAAATGGTTTTACTAAAAGCTGTTGACGTTTCCATCAGCAGTAACCATAGGGAGCTGGCTGGTTGTAACCACAGTGTCCGTATCCGTGGGGGTAGTAAGTTTCATGTCTATACTGCAGGTAACTGTTACCCCAGGATTGTCCATGCTGCTGATTGGATCGAGTGTCAGTTTGCCACCCCCACCGGTTTGACCTCTAAACAGTCTATTACCTTGCAACTGATCGCCTCTGTGTCTCTGGCTCCCAGCACCTGGGCTATTCTACTCCTCAACAATTGGAAGGAGACCTAGGAGGGCTCTTCAGGTATTCATGGTACTCTTTGACATCTTCTGTGAATGTACTGGCAAACGTCTCTTCAAAATTTGGAACAGCTTTAGAAGGGTCTGTATTCCTGAAATTCCCAGCAACTTAAGGCAGCTTTGCTGTTTAATGTTTATGTTGTTTCCATCTCCGGCCCACAGCGTGGCCAAAGGATCTCCCAGTACTTCACCTCTCCAAGGTAACGGAGCCACTCCCATTACTATTCTTTTTTTTTTTTTTTTAACATTTATTTATTTATTTTCGAAGGAGAGAGACAGAGACAGAGACAGAGCACAAGCAGGGGAGGGGCAGAGAGAGGAGGGAGACACAGAATCCGAAGCAGATTCCAGGCTCTGAGCTGTTAGCACAGAGCCCGACTTGGGGCTCAAACCCATGTACCATGAGATCATGGCCTGAGCCGAAGTCGAGTGCTCAACCAACTGAGCCACTCAGGCGTCCCGCCCCCCCCCATTACTACTCTTTTAAACAGATTTTTTTTTATTTTATTTTATTTTTAATTTTTTTTTCAACGTTTATTTATTTTTGGGACAGAGAGAGACAGAGCATGAACGGGCGAGGGGCAGAGAGAGAGGGAGACACAGAATCGGAAACAGGCTCCAGGCTCTGAGCCATCAGCCCAGAGCCCAACGCGGGGCTCGAACTCACAGACTGCAAGATCGTGACCTGGCTGAAGTCGGACGCTTAACCGACTGCGCCACCCAGGCGCCCCTTAAACAGATTTTTTAAATTTATGAAAAAATAATATTTTAAATTTACCTGTATATTGAATTTCCGGTACCTCTTGCAGATTCAGGTTCCATCTTGGATGCTTTCCCTTAAACCTTAAGAACTTCCTTAGCATTTCTTGTAGTGCAGGCCCATTGGTGCAAAATGTTGTGAGATCTTTTTTCTTCTAAAATGTCTTTATTTTTCCTTTATTTTGAAGAATATTTCCACTGGGTATAGAATTTAGGTTGCTAGGTTTTTGGTGTGTTTTTTTTTTTTAATTTGTAAGTAATTTTAGAATTTCAAAGATACTATTACATTGTCTTATGACTTTCGTTGTTTCTTTTTTTTTATAAAAATTTTTAATGTTTATTTATTTTTGAGAGAGAGACAGTGTGAGTGAAGGAGAGGGAGACACAGAATCCGAAGCAGGCTCCAGGCTCTGAGCTGTCAGCACAGAGCCTGATGCAGGGCTTGAACCCACAAACCATGAGATCATACCTGAGCCAAAGTTGGATACTTAACCAACTGAGCCATCCAGGTGCCCCAGCTTTCATTGTTTCTGATGAGAAATCAGCTATCATTTTATTTTTTTTCAGCTGTCATCATAGAGTTATTCCCCTGAATGTAATGTGCAGTTTTTCTCTAGCTATATTTAAGTTTTACCCTTTTTGGTAATCTAACTATCATATGTCTAGGAGTGGTTTGTGTTTTTTCTGACTGGGATTCACTGAATTTCTCAGATCTATGAGTTTGTGTCTTTCATCAATTAAAGAAAATCTCGTCCATTATCTCTTTAAATATAGAAGAGACAGTTCTATACTTTATTATCTCTCTTTATTTTGCCCCATTCCTTCAATTCCTTAGAGTCCTAAGCTCCATTAACATGTATTTTTAACCAATTTATAGTTCCACACATCTTGGACATTGTTTTATTTTCCATTCTTTCCTCTCTAATTTGGATAATTTCTAACAAAGTATCTTCAAATTAACTGATCCTTTCTCTTCTGTATCCATTATGCTGTTAAGTCTATCGAATTTTTCATTTCAGATATTGTATTATTTTTACTTCCAGAATTTTCCTTCTATTAATTTTTTTATAGTTCCCATTTCTCTGGTGAGAATTTTCATCTACTCACCTGTTCTGTCCATCTTTTCACATTTTTTTCATAAATTGTTTTTTATATTTATAAAAAGTCTTAAAGTTTTAAAGTCTTTATCTGCTAATTCCAACCTCTAGGTCATCTGTTGGTCTGCTTCTATTCACTTTTTTCTTGATTATGTCTCATATTTCTTGGCATATCTAGTGGTTTTACACTGTATACTTGACATTGTGGATGACAACACTGTAGAAACTCTGGATTGTGTTACCTTTCTCTATAAAGAGCAGACATTTGCTTATTATTCTGGTAGGCAGTTAAATTTGTGGCAGATTACTTTGATCCTTTGGAAGGCTGGTTTTAATCTTTGTTAAGACAGCTCTGCTTTGGGTTGCCTGGGAGGCTCAGTTGGTTAAGCATTTTACTGTTGACTCAGGCTCAGGTCATGATCTCATGTTTCCTGAGTTTGAGCCCCATGTCAGGCTCTGCGCTGACAGTGCAGAGCCTGCTTGGGATTCTCTGTCTCCCTCTCTCTCTGCCGCACACACTCTCTCTCTCAAAACTAAATAAACTTAAAAAGAAAAAAAAAACAGGTCTGCTTCGGTTTTCTTCTTTGCTCCAGAGTATACTCTCCTGTATCATGCATATTTAAAAGTTTTCATGTATTTTGACATATTTAAAACTTTTCTATCTGGGGAGAGACTGCCCCTTCCAGGGCCAGCCAATTGTTAAGATGCCAAAAAGCTCGTCGGGAAGCATGCCTCTGATCTGCAAACTAACCAGTCTGGAGCCAAAACTCCCCTTTCTGGCCCCTGCACCCAGGAGGCAGTATTCTTCTGTCTTCGTTTCAGAGCCAGGGACATACCCTACAGCTTAGGGCCTGATGGAATTATTCAACCAGGCCCGTCCTAGGCTGTCGGCCCTGCCATCTTGCCTTTCTTTCCTACAGAAATCCCAGTAGAGGTCTTGATTTCCACTTTCCCCTTACTCCTGATGATTCTGGTGCTTCCTTATGTGGCCCCGCATGGCATTGTGCCTCCCATTTCTGGGACCCATGAGCATAGTAAACTTGTTCTTTCCTGAATCTCTCCTGCATGTCCTCTTGTGGCTGCACCTCAGTGAGCATCACAGAAAAGAACACAGAAGACTCTTAGCCTGAAATGTGACCAATACCCCAAGGGGTGTCCCTTCTGGGAAAGCCACAGTGTCTATCAAGCCCTTCGCACTCGATGGAAATCGAACTCCAAACTGTCTCCAGCACTGGGCAGCCCGGGACCTCCTCAGCTATTCAGCTTTCCAGCTGCTGATTTCTGGGTGCGGGGGTGGGAGGGGTGTAGTTAAGAGCCAGCCAAGACTGTGAAATGTCTTTGCGCAAACTCAGGTGAGAGGTCCAGTCTGGTGCACCCCTCCCTTCTGGGATTTTCTCTTCAGTTTCCAGCCCTCTGGTAGCATCAACCTCCAAACTCTCTCTCTTTATCTTGGTAAAATCGCCACATTTTGCTCGACCCTAGTGTCACGAGCCCTGAGGGGGCTGGGATGTGCTGTCGCGGAGAAGTCAGATGAATGTGGCCAAATGGTATCCGCTGGTTTGCTTCCTTTATTTCAACGATTGTGTCCTTCCAGCTTCTGTCTGCTTCCACTTGCTGCTGCTGCCTTCACACTATTGTTCTTCACATTTGATATAGAGTTTATCATTGTTATTAGCAGGAGGGTTTGTCCAACCGAGGCAACTCTGCCATGGCCGAAAACAGATTTTCCAAAATATTTTCCTGATATGCAAATGAGTCCACATCAAATGATGTGGAATCAAAATCAGAAATCCTTACAAATTGAGAAAGCCATATTTTCTCACTGTTGTTGTAAAATAATTTTGGTCACCTCTACTTCCTAGTATCCGTAAATTACAGAACTCTAATAGTTGTAATTGAGTGGACACTCTGTACTTGGAGAGCAATGAAGCCGAGTGATCGATTCCTCGCACACACCCTCCCTTCCCTGTGTTTAATGGACGTAGCATCACACAGAACTCCTAGTGGTTCACTTGAGCGACAAAAACAATTTCTATAAGCTTGTCTGGGAAAGAAAAGTTACTTTTTGACACTTTGATATTGGAACCAATATTGAAACTGATGGGATTCCTTACGTTGTCAATAAAATGACAGTTCAAATGAAAGAACCAATTTCTGCTCCCAAAGCTCGCTCAAATCATGTTTTCCTCAACGATGGCTGGGCTCGAACAGCTTCCAGAGACCTGGGTGTGGACGCTGCGTGGGCGGCAGAGCGCCTCTGCGCGCACACAGGCCACCGTACTCGGTTTCTGAAAACACCCGCTTCATCTGGCATGGAGCAGAGTGTCACCGGAGGACAGCCGAGCCAAACCCAGCACTGGAGCTCTGACACATCCGGTAATAAAACGTTTAGCTTGGCTTGGAAATGCCACTTGCAACGTTTCCACTCCTTCTCAATCTCCATCTTTCATTTCCTTCGTCCCTGATTCTTCCCCTGGCACTTCCAGTTTTCACACAGTTTTTCTCTCTTGATGCTCAGTACAGTCTGATAGTTACCATTAAACAACAACAACAACAAAATGGGATACCTGGGTGGCTCAGTCGGTTGAGTGTCCAACTCCTGGTTTACGGCTTAGATCGTGATCTCGTGGATCGTGAGATCGAGTCCCACGTCAGGTTCTGTGCTGACAGCTTGGCCCCTGCCTGGGACTCTCCCTCTCTATCTGCCCCTCCCCTACCCACTTGCTCTCTCTCTCTTTCTCAAAATAAATAAATCGTCATGGAAAAAATAAAAACACAATAGAAAAATAAAAAACCACAAAGGAAAGGAAAACACATTCATCAGACTTCAAGGAAGAAACAAAGCACAGCACCTCTGAGAACAATCCAAGCCGACGCAGCTGTCTTTTCCTCTGAAAATGCGCTCTGTCACCTGCTCTAGGAGGCGGACCAAGACCAACAGGACGGCTGTGATGCAGTGCAGAGTGCTCGAGGACAGAAGTCCTGCCGCTGCTTTCCAAGGACCGGTGCAAACACAAGCCGCGTGGAATCTCCATCCTGCTCCCACTCTGAGCCAGGGACCCCATGGATTCACAGAATCGCAGCACCCCGGATCTGGAAGGGACGGAAGGGATTACTTAATCCGATTTGTACCTATCATCGTGAGATTCTCCTTCAAAATACCCTTGAAGGACAGCTCTCAAGTTCCCACCTGTGACCAGAGTCCACGGTTTCTCACCTCAGCCCACCCCACCTCTGGACAGTGTCAGTGGCTAGAAATTTCTTTCTGGCATTAACTAAAATCCTCATTTCAGGACTGGTACTCATTGGCCCTTGCCCTCTACAAATCTACAGTTACCTAACAG